GGCTCGAACCCATGAACTGTGAGATCATGACCTGAGCTGAAGTGGGACGCTTAACTAACTGAGCCACCCAGGCGCCCCGCTGTATGTTTATTTAGATACATTCACCCACTCAACAAATTCACAGTTGTAGGTGTGGGAATACAGCCAGGAGCAAAACAATAAAAAAGTCCTACTTTCATCGAACTTACATCTTTTGGTGTAAACCAAATCATAAACAAGTAAAACATATAGTACCTTAAAAAGTGATAAGTGCTATGAAAACAAAACAAAACAAAAAGGCAGGGAGACCAGGTATGTTGTGGGTGGTTAGGAGCAGATTGCAGTTCCATGTGAAGTGAATAAGGAAGTCCTTGATACAAATGTGCTATTTCACCAAATGTAGTAAAGGGAGTAACTGTGTGGGTATGTGGGCTAGAAGTGGTGCAGTTATAAGGAACAGCAAGTACAAAGGGCCTGAAGTAGGGTCTTGCCTGGTATGTGAGGAGGTCAGTGGCTAGAGAAAAATGAGTGGGAAGAGAGAGAAACAGAAGGCTGAGAGGTATCTGGGTCAGAGACAAACACTGTAAGACTTTGTAGGCCATTGGAAATGTAGACTTTGGCTTCTACTCAGTGGAGGGTTTTCAGCACAGGAATGACATGACATTTTTAATACATATATGTGTATCCTGGACAAATGTACAGCTATTTTTGGCTACTTTATAAATGTATATAAATGGAACTGTGCTATACATCCTGCTTCTACTTTTGCTGCCTAACATTATTTCTGAGATCTACCCATGTTGTTATCTATAAATCTACTGTATTTGTGAGTGCTATGTATATTTCATTGTACACATATGGCACATTTTACTTCTATGTCCCTTTAGTGACATATGCTGGCATAGCTTCCAACCCCCTGCTCCCTGTGAAGAACATGCCCATATGGGCTTCCTTATGGACTGAAGATAGAGTTTCCTTTGGTGTTTACCTTGTAGAGGGATAGAGGGGTGAGAGGGTGTGTACATTATTTAAAAAAAATTTTTGTTTAAAATAAAATATTTATTTTTGAGGGAGAGAGAGATAGAGCATGAGCAGGGAAGGGGAAGAGAGAGAGGGAGACACAGAACCTGAAGCAGGCTCCAGGCTCTGAGCTGTTGGCACAGAGCCTGACATGGGGCTCAAACTCACAAACTGAGCTGAAGTTGGATGCTTAACTGACTGAGCCCCTCAGGTGCTCTAGATGTGTGCATTCTTAATTCCACTAAGACTGTGCTTTAGGATGGTGGCCACAGTTATACTCCCACCAGCAGTACCTGATAGTATGTATCTTCTCACCAAATTGTCATGTTGATCCAGTAAGGGAAGTTAAGTAAGGTTCCTTGTGGATAAGGAAACTGAGGCTTAAAGAGATTATATAGTGAGGCAGAAGAGCCAGGGCTCACATCCAAAATTTATGACATAGTGTTCATTGCTCTTACCTCTATAGTACCTGTCACTGCTTCTTCTAGGAATAAGATGAGGCATCCATAGGCAAAATATTATTATTATTATTATTATATTTGACGTTTACATTTTTAGTTTATTATTTCTTTTTTTCTTTTCTTTTCTTTTTTTTTTTTTTTTACAAGTAGTTTATTGTCAAGTTGGTTTCCATATAACACCCAGTGCTCATCCCCACAAGTGCCCTCCTCCATGCCATTTTTTGATGTCTGGTCTAACTCAGTAAGCCTAGGATTTCCAAGTGTTTACACCACATCCCAAATGTGTCTATCTAGGGTACTTAGCTTTTCAAGGCAAAATATATGGAATAAAACTGTTTTAATTTTCTCATGAGGGCTAGTTAACAGGCCTGAATTGTAGTAGAGGATTTTGAGGCTAGACATTTGGAAAGACTAATTGTTTTTCAAAGTTGAGGATTTGGATCATATTTCAATATTAAATTTTAGGTAGATTATATTAAGTACATATTGTTTGCTACACACTGAGCTAACTACTTTATAAGTATCATTTAACTTACTGCTCACAACAGCTCTATGAGGTTTTACTTTTACTCTCATTTGACTGTTGTGGAAACTAAAGCTCCAAGAGGTAAACTAATTTGTCCAGAGTCACCCAATATGAGGTTGAGTTGTGATCTGAACATGAACTACCTAGCTGCAGAGCATTACTCCTAACTACTAAACTGTGCTGCCTTCCTGTAAAGGCAGCTATTAGGATCTCTTCTCTTTGAAATTAAAGATACTTTCTTGTCATTTGGGGTGGATTAGAGCAGTCACAAGAAGTATAGGGCTATTGAACAAGAATCTCCAGAATGAGAGGATCTGGAGTTAGAAAATGTCCCCAGGTGTCTTTATTATCTCTCCCTCTGTCCCTCAAAGTGAAAATCTCTGCCTTAGGACATGCTACCCAGATTATAGAGCCTGGGCATGATGCCTAAAAAAAATTAGAGCTTCTTTAACCGGGTGTGGGTGGCTGGTTGCCTGTAACCCAAGTCAGCCTGATATTTAAAACAAGTGTCCTCAAAGACAAACATTCTTTTTTAAAAAATTAAGTCTATTTATTTATTTATTTATTTGAGAGAGAGAGAGAGAGAGAGAGAGAGAGAGAGAGAGAGAATGCAAACAAGTGGAGGAGAGGCAGAGAAAGAGGGGGAGAGAGAGAATCACAAGCGGGCTTCATGTGGTTAGTGTGCAGTCCGAGGTGGGGCTTGGACTCCAGAACCACAAGATCAAGAGTCAGACACTCAACAGACTGAGCCACCCAGGTGCTTTGCAAACAAAGCTTTATCACCTTGTGTGTTTCATACCATCCATGAATGATGTGTGGTCATGGTTTCATCAGTTAGTTTTCCCTTCACTCTTTTTATTTGGCATTCTTTCTACAAGGAAGCTGATTCCATTTATATCTTAACCTGAGCCAGGAGTATAAAGATTGTTTGGTTAAAACGTATGTATCTTGAAGTCAAGTAGTTAGGAATTCTGGATTATGTGCTCTTTTGGGTTTCTCTTCTCAGTTTGTAGATTTGTTTAACAAATATTTATTGAGCACCTAAGCCACAGTCTCATAGAGGACATACACAGACAGCTGACCTGAAATTTTGCTACATTAGGGTAAATGGCACATGGGGGAGGCCTGGGTACTAGGAGAGCACACAGGAGGGGCAGCAGAAGGGTCAGGGGAGGCTTCCTGGGGAAGAGACTTCTGAGCTGGGAACTAGAAAAGAAGTGGGGCTTAGCTAAGTAAAGGGGACAAGAAAGCTTTAGAGGCACAGGGAACAGGTTGAATGTTATATTTTGCAACTGGAGTAGGAACTGGGCATGGGATGAGGCTGGAGGAATCAGCACAGGTCAGAAGATGAAGGAAGGGAGGATTATGAAGGAAGAGCAGTGGGGAACCATTGAAGAGTTTGAAGCCTAGGGGTGGGTGGGGTCACATCAATCATATTAATAATGTAGAAAGTTCCGTGAGTTAAGTATTCACTTTCCTTTTCAGTGTCACGTGCTTATTGGTAAATCATAACATTGGAACTGGTGGATGGCAAATAAGAAGTCCAGATGGATTTGTAGACAGAAGGTGTGACGCGTTTCCCAAGGGTTCCTTTTGATAATCTGTAGAGAAGACTTTTCAATTTTGACTTCATCTTTCTATCTTTTAAAACCACTGACAACATTTCCTAAAGTTCTCTCAAAATAGGAGCCTGAGTAGGGAGAAGAGTGGGGACTGCATGACTTTATTTTCTCTGTTCTCCACTTCTCATTTCTGGGGCATTGCTGTGAATTGTTCATCCAGAGCCATGCTCCCCTTGAGAAGGGGGCACATTTGAATAGCAGCAGGTGAGGAGGGGGAAGGAGGAACTCAATGTCAGTTCCTTTATTAAGAAAATATATTTGGTATATTGAGACCATGGCTTGAGGGAGTTAATAATAACTATTGTGAAAAATTAATAGGGAGTGACAAGTGAGTTTTTTAATACAAGTCGCCGAGCAGGGCAGGGTCTCCAAGCAGCTGCAGCTACATCATGGATGGTATAGGGTGTTTATAGAACACAGGGTGGCCAGGGAGGAGATTGTCTGTAGAAGTGAATTCTCCTTCCCTCATGGAACCCAGAGAGGGAGGAGACAGAAGGAATTGTTTTGATTGTGAGCTACCAAGCTAGGGGACCTACTTCTTTTCTCCCTTCCCATCACATTCATTACTGTGACATAAAGGTTACAGTAAATTTTTCCTGGTTGTTTTGAGTGAGATTTATTGAATGTCAGAATTCATAAAGTGACATTTCTGGCTCTTCTCCATTCTTAGTAATGGACCCTTGACTGGTTGCTACACTCTTTTCTCCAGTGTTTCCTCACCAGTTAACTCTCATTATTGCAAGTAGTTATGAAGGCCCTGCCCCCTTCTCCCTCTTCTATTTTCACAGCACCCCTGTTGGCATAGGTAGGTAAAGGGAAGGGTAGAACAGTACATACTTTGCCATCAGTACAGCTAAATGGATGATGCAGAATGAGGAGAAAGGGGGCCAACGTGACCTCTGACTTTGGGTACTGATTTGGGGGCAAAGAGGTTTAAGACAGAGGAACCAATATTTGTATTTCACATTGAAATATTAGTTTTAAAAATGGTTCTGTAATTGCAATCAGGCCCTCTAGTCCATGAATTGATGTGTCATACCTCATGCCCAGGCACCATGCAATAATTCACACACATGTTGGAAGGTATTTGGCACTGTTTCTGAGGGGGAAATCAGGGTTGATTTTTCTATGATGTCTTTTGGATTCAATTTCAGTGATACTTGGGCTGCAACAGGTGACATGGGATTTCTGAGCTACAGTTCGTTGGTTGAACACCACTGTTCAGTAAATATTTATTGTTTATTTAGGTGTTATGAAGGGTCAGATGAAATACAAAGCAGCAGCTTTGAAGCCTGAGTAACGGACTCAGCCTCACTGAACCTGATCCCAGACTCTGCTTTTTGAGCTTGCTGCAGCTCTCTGATCCTTGAATCCTCTTCAATTCCAGCTACAATGCTGCGTCAGGCACTTCGTAAATTTGTTCGGAAGCTGGTACGCAGACCTACGCTGAAGGAACTGGTGGCTGAGGATAAACCACGGAGAAAGCTGAGCACTCTGGATTTAGTGGCTCGGGTTGTGGGCTACACAGTGGGGATAGGTGTGTATGTCCTGGCTGGTGAGGTGGCCAGAAATCAAGCAGGACCAGCCATTGTGATCTGCTTTTTGATGGCCGGCCTATCTTCTATGTTGGCTGGGCTGTGCTATGCAGAGGTTAGTGCCCAGGTTCCCTATTCTGACTCTGCACATCTCTATGGCTTTGTCACTATAGGTGAACTCTGGGCTTTCATCTCTGGCTGGACCCTCATCCTCTCCCATGTCGGTGATAAAGCCATTGTGGCCCATGCATGTATCTTAGCTTTTGACAATCTGCGTGGAAACAAGATCTCTCAGACCCTGCGTGACAGCATCTCACCACATGTTCCCCGTGTCCTTACAGAATATGCAGATATCTTTGTTGTGTGTCTTGTGTTTTTACTCATAGAATTCCGGAATCTGAGGTATGTTTGGTCTTTCCCAGTTACCAGACTGGCCACATTGGTGAAACTTCTGGTTCTCAGTTTTGTCATCATCTCTGGCTTCATTAAGGGGGACCTGCACAACTGGAAGCTCACAGAAGAGGACTTCTTAATGGCTGGACTCAATGACACCTCAAGCTTGGGGCCTCTGGGCTCTGGAGGATTTGTGCCTTTTGGCTTTGAGGGGATTCTCCGTGGAACAGCCACCTGTATTTATGCATTTATAGGTTTCAGCAGTATTTTTGACAAAGTCAAAGATGCCCAGAATCCCCAGCGTTCCATCCCCATGGGCATTGTGATTTCACTGTTCATCTGCCTTGTGGTGTATTTTGGTGTCTCTGTGGCACTTACACTTATGGTGCCTTACTACAAGCTTCGACCTGGGAACACCTTGCCTCAGGCATTTCTCCATATTGGCTGGACCCCTGCCTACTATTTTTTAGCTTTTGCATTCCTGTGTATTGTTTCTGCCAGGCTCTTGGGCTTTATGTTTCCCATACGTCGGGTGTTACGCAGGATGGGACGGGATGGCCTCTTGTTCCCCGTGCTTGCAGGAATTCATTCCCACCCATTCATCCTTATCATGACCACTGTGATCTTGAGCATTATTACAGCAATCATGGCAGTCTTCTTTGGGCTCACTGATCTCCTGGACCTCAGGTCAGTTGGATCCCTGATATCTCACTCCCTGGTTGCTACTTCTGTTCTCATCCTCAGGTATCAGCCTGAGGTGAAGAAATGGGGAAATGAAGTAGAGGTGCAGGAGGAGGATGAACCTGCAGCAGAGAGGCTGACTCTACAGGGACTACTTTTTCCAGGCAGCTCCACCCCCACTCCCCTCTCTGGCAGGGTTGTCTATGTTTGCTCCTCACTGCTTGTTCTGCTGATCATTCTTCTCTGCCTGGTGCTGATGCAGTCACCAGTTCTGCTTTCTGGAGACCCAGTGTGGATTTCCGTGGTTGTGCTGCTCCTGGTGCTCATCACTGGGCTCACTGGGGTCATCTGGAGACAGCCACAGAGCTCCAGTCCCCTTCCCTTTAAGGTCCCTGCTCTGCCTCTCCTCGCACTACTGAGCATCTTCATGAATGTTTGCCTTATGATGCAGATGACAGCTGCCACCTGGGCCCTTTTTGGTGTCTGGATGCTGATTGGGTTTGCTATGTACTTTGCCTATGGAATCCAGTACAGCCTGATCTCTGACCCAACTTAAGTTAAGGCTGAAACTATAGACTTTGAACTCAGCAATGCCAATACATATTTGGTTTGGCATCATCACACCTGAATGCAGTCTTGTCTCCCTGCACAATATTGGAGAGTATTCTTGACTGCATGGAAAGCTAGGCCTCCAAAGAGATGTTGGTGGGTGAACACTAATATAATTCAGTGTGTATTGTGGAGTGTAGGATGTGTCTGCTCTATTTTTTTTTTTTTACTACTGAATTGTGTCTATAGCTGCTTACTGGCTTTCAAATATTATTAAAAGAAATTAGAAAAAAAAATTTTTTGTTTTTCTTGTTTAAATATCCAGTAGCTGTGGGGGTGTCTGACTGGGGTTCAGTCAGTACAACATGCAACTCTTTATCTCAGGTCATTGTATATAGATATTATTTTAAAAAACAGGAGCAGAATTACTGGATCAATAGGTGGCTTTATTTTTAATTTTTTTGAGGAACCTGCATACTGTTCTCCATAGTGGCTGCACCAACTGACATTCCCACCAACAGTACTGAGGGTTCCTTTTTCTCCATATCCTAGACAATACTTGCCTATCTTATCTTTCTGATTTTAGCCATTCTGACAGGTTTAAAGTGATATCTCATTGTAGTGTTAATTATATTTCCCTGGTGATTAGTGATAGTGAACATCTTTCCTTCCAAGTGTTTGTTGGCCATCTATATGTCTTCTTTGGAAAATTTTCTATTCAGTTCATCTGAACATTTTTAAAAACTGGATTATTTGAGTTTTTTGGTGTTGAGTTGTATAACGTCTTTCTGTATCTTGGGTATTAAAACCCTAATTGGATATGTCATTTGCAAATATCTTCTATTCAGTAGGTTGCCTTTTTTTGTTTTGTTGATGGTTTCCTTTTCAGGGCAAAAGCTTTTTAGTTACATGAGTTCAAAAAGATATATGTATCCCTATGTCTATTGAAGCATTATTTACAATAGCCAGAATATGGAAGCAACCCAAGTGTTCCTTGATAATGGATAAAGATGTAATATCTGCCTGCCTATCTATCTATCTATCTATCTATCTATCTATCTATCTACCTACCTACCTACCTACCTACCTACCTACCCACCCACCCACCTACCCACCCACCCACAATGGGATATTACTCAGTCATAAAAAAGAATGGAATCTTACCATTTGTAACATGTATGGACCTAGTGGGTATAACACTAAGTGAAATAAGTCAGTCAGAGAAAGACAAATACCATATGATTCCACGCTTATGGCAATTTAGAAAAAAAGTGAGACAAACAATAAAAGCAACCCTAGACTCTTAAATATAGGGAACAAACTGTTGGTTGTCAAAGTGAAGTGGGTACAGGGATAAGTGAAATAGATAAAGGGAATTAAGGGTATACTTATCTTGATGAGCACTGAGAAATGTGTGGAATCACTGAATATATAGTACACTGAGAATAATATAATGACACTGTATGTTTATTATGCTTCAGTAAAAAAAAACAATTAGAACCAAATAAAAAAAAAAGAGATGAAATATGGCCCCTGCCCTTAAGGGGCTTATATTTTAATAGTAAAGCATACCTGTAATACAAAGTAGAAAGTGTTGCTATAATAAATAATATACAAATAAATTGTCCTGGGGATTTAGAGTGGAGGATGGTCATTTGTGGCTGGCTCAGTGCTGAGGCCAGATTGGTGAAATCAGGCAGACTTTTAGAGGAATGGCATTGAGTTGGCTTTCTCCAGGGACAGATAGAATTTTGCCACACATGGGCAGCAGGGACAGATTGTTGGCAGAGAGAACAACAGTAGGAAAAGCAAAGGAAAATGAAGCAGTGTTCAGAGCACACTGGGAAGGCTGTGAAGCCTGAGCCTTGGCTGTGAGGGGGGCCAACAGAATACACACAGGTGGACTGGAGGCAGAGCTTTCCTCTGAGCAAAAAGCACTTTGGCTTTGGGCCCGCTACCCATACTGAAAATCCCTGCGGTTGGTTCTTCTACTTGGCAACCTCTAGATTGAAAGTTTCTCCACTGTTGTTGGCTTTGGTTCACCTGCTCAGAAAGAGTGCAGCTGAGAGTCAAGTGTCCTGGGTTCTGGTTTTGTTTTCACCACTAACTAGCCATGTGACCTTGAGCAAGCCTCCTAGTTCACTCAATGCTCTGCTTATCTATCTGTAACTTGAGAGGTCAGAACCGATCAATTCTAAAGTTCAGTTCACTTAAAAAACTCTAGGATTTTCGGGGCGCCTGGGTGGCTTAGTCGGTTAAGCGTCCGACTTTCGCTTGGGTCATGATCTCGCGGTTCTGTGGTTCGAGCCCCGCGTCGGGCTCTGTGCTGACTGCCAGCTCAGAGCCTGGAGCCGGTTTCAGTCTGTGACTCTCTCTCTCTCTGACCCTCCCCTGCTCACGCTGTCTCTCTCTCTCCTAGAAATACATAAAACATTAAAAATTTAAAAAAAACCCAAAAAACTCTAGTATTTCCTCTGGTTCCTGTCTCTCATGAACCCTTTTCTAGGTTTTCCTCTGGTTCCTGTGAAAAGTGAACTCTTTTCACTATAACCCACTATGGAGGTATAATGATCCAATAAATAACACCCCATTTCTCACTCCTATGTTTGGAAACAATTGATAATTAAGACATAGAGACTGATAATTAAGCTGTCAGTTTTTGATCTACAGCCTAATTGCCTTGATAATCCCTCATCACTAAATTAGACAGACTTATTCCTCATGGAAGTAGTGCTAAGCAACCCCCACATCTCACCAGAGGTAATTTTTAAAGTATGAGCAGGTTAGAATGCAAGTGTCTCCTGGTCAGGTTGGCTCTGGATGAAAAAGAAAACCATCAAAATCTAGAAGAGGTTGAGGTAGGCATGGTTAGTGCTGTCTCTTCAAGTCCCTTCTCAAAGTCACAGCGAGGGATATTGGTATTGGGGCGAGGCCAGGAATAGTCTCTGGGTTCTGTTTCATGATGTGCAGGATGGGTCTCTTCTAGGAAAGGATGCATAAAAATATACAAAGAAAGGTTAGTTAATCAATCATGTGGGCTTTGGGTGCTGGCTAAATCTTAAAGATTAGGAAGACATTTCCCTGGGACAGCTTCCTTGGGGGTGATTAGCACTTCATGTCCTTCTGATTCCAGGGCTCACTGCTCCCTCAAGAACATCTGGGCCTTCTTCAGCTGCATTAAAAATTATTAGGGAAAACTGGGGCGCCTCGGTGGCTTAGTCGGTTAAGCATCCGACTTTCACTTAGGTCATGATCTCACGGTTCGTGGGTTCGAGCCCCGCGTCGGGCTCTGTGCTGACTGCCAGCTCAGAGCCTGGAGCCTGTTTCAGAGTCTGTGTCTCCCTCTCTCTCTGACCCTCCCCTGCTCACGCTGTCTCTCTCTCTCTCTCCTAGAAATAAATAAAAAAAACATTTAAAAAAATTATTAGGGAAAACTGAAAGTGCAAAGGGGCAAGAGGCATGATGGACCCAGGGGCAGAGACCGGGGTTGGGACAGGGGAGTGTGATGAGGAAGGCCAAATCAGGGGGCAAGTTTCCCTAGGTGTGCACAACTTATGGTCTGAGGCTGAAGGAGACTGGGTTTCTGTGTCAGGGACAGCAAGACTGGAAGTGTATTGTCGTGATGCTCAACACAGGGGCTGGGGACTGGAATAGGGTCACTCACTATGGGTGGATACACTGCTGATGGAAGGTTTACTTGTCTTTTAATCCTCATAGAATTATTAGGTAAATTTTAGAAAGCCCACTTACAGGTGATGAAATGGAGACTAAGGGAGGTTATGTCAAGTACCCACACTAATACAGCATATTAAGTGGCAAAAGCAGGATTTCAACTCAGGTCCTTGACTCCTGAGCTCTTGCCCTTTCCGCCACGCTACTGGGAAAAATGACTTACTCTTTTATTTATCTGCCTGAGCTTCAGGCTTGGGGCCAGGAGTTGAGGTGGGGAATGGCAGACAGGTGCTCAGAAATGTCTGTTGAATAAGGGAGTGTATTATCTCTGCAGGTTCCACTTCCATGGTGTGGGCCATAGTCCTGGAATATCTGGTGGCTGGAAGGGGAATCTACATTTGATCTTAGCCAAAAGGTCAATAAACAATCAGGAAGGGGAATATAGCAAAGGAGCTCCAGTGTGGGCCAGAAAACTGGAAATAGGTTTCCTGTGGGTATCAATGCATTTTCCTGGACATTCTAGACCTCTAGTTCTAGAGGCCTGGGCACTGAATCCTTACAAGAGGCAAAGAGAGGGATGTGTATGTGTGCACTGTGTCTGACGAGTGTATGAGAATGTGTACGTTTGCAGTGCATGCCTTTCTGTTAATGTATGAGTTTGTGAGTATGTGTCTTCGTGTTGCATACGTGTGAGAATGTTTGTGATGTACAGGTATGTATATGTGTGTATTTTGAGGATATGTGTGAGCATCTGTGTGTGTGTGTGTGTGTGTGTGTGTATCTACATCTGTGCAGGTGCATGTGTGCATGTGTATATGTGTATATGTGTGTGTGCTGTTCCTGGGGAGTCCGAAGACTTGTAGCTGAAGATGTCTTTGATTTGAGCAAAATTCCAGCAGGAGTCAGGCTGTGGTAAGGGATGGGGTGAGGTAGGAGGCCAGAAGACAAAAGCTGTCTGTGCCTGGGGTATGGGGTGTGGGTAGCCTGAGCAGTGGATGTCTCTGCCCTGCCAGGCACAGGGGGATGGCATCAGGGTCCTGGCTACGAAGCTGGGTGGAGACTGGGTCCTGAGCCTTTCACTCAGGGCTTGCATTGGAGGAGATCAGAGGTCCCGCTCTGACCAGAGAGGACCATAAATAGGTGGGATCAGGGCGGGAAGGTGGCCAGACAGTAGAGGGTTCAGGCCTTCTCTTTCTCCTCACCCCCAGGATTTGGAAATGATGTAATCAGGCTGCAATTCCTATCCCTAGACTCCACCCATTCTGCCCGAGGGCCATAGAGTCCCTAGAAGTCTTTGTGTGACACCTTCTGAGGCTGGGATCACCAGAATCACAGTGAAGACTTCTGTCTCTGTCAGTACTATCAAGACAGATCCAAACCAAGTTCTTGTCAGTTGTGGGCCTTTGGAAAAGCCCATGTGTGCATTCTTACTGAATTTCATACAAGCTGAGGCTTTCAGACCACGGGTACTTGGAAGTTCTTACTGAGTCTAACTCAAATCCTTGTTGTATTTTGTGTACTATAAGCCCAGGCTGAGTTTGTGAAATTGGAGCCCAGCATCCCCATCCCCCAAGCATGGAAGAAGTTTCTTCTGGATACGGAAGTGGGTCACAGTGTAGGGACACTGAGAGGATGTGGGGCTAAAGCTGGTGGATCACAGATGGGTTGGACCTTCCCTGGGCAGGAGGGCCATGATCAACGGGGCAGATTCAGAGAAGGGAGCTCAGAGACCACCACTCTTCCCTGTTTCCTCTGTCACCCTATGTAGTACCAGGGGAAACAGGAAACAGATGCTGTGGTAGGAAGTTCCAGATTAGAACAGGAAAATGCTTCCCTGGCTACAGCTCTGAGGAGCCTCTAGAAACACATGACAAAGAGCAAATGATGAATGAAAAAAAGTTCCTCTTGCAGCTCAGGAAGGAGAAGAGAGGGGCAGGGACTGTGGGACTCTGAGGGGCAGAGGGGTGTGTGTGCTGAGGGTGAGCATGTGCACAGCACGGTGTTTGTGGTGAACATGTCTGTGCTTCATGGTTAACAGTCCTGTGTGCACCAGTCATGTATGTAAACATAGCACATGGGGAAGGGTGCAGCTCTGACATGGGTTATTTAAACCAAGTGTGAGCTGGCTTCCCACTGGGGCCTATGAAGTATGCTTTTCTGTTAGGAACAGCAGTCAGCACAAATGGGAAGACTCCTGTATTGGCAAGCAAGAAAATATGGGTTCCAGGTCTAGCTCTAGTTATCAGCTGGGTCACTGTGAAGCATCACCTCTGTGAAGTGGGATGTCATCTACTGTACAACCTTAAAGGAAATACCACTGAGACCTTAGGTGCCAGCAGCCCCAGTGCTGAGACCAGAAAGTGAAGCAGATTGGAGGGTGATGGCATTCCAGAGGCCAAAGTGAATAACGAATGCCAGTGGAAGGGGCTGCAAGATAGGTTTCCTGAATTCGAAAACTCATGGGTTCTTGCTGGAGCCAGAGTCCCCCAGGCTGGGGAGCCCAGCCCTATCCCAGCACCCTGGGCCCAGGGCTGGCTCTGCAGGGAGAGCTGTTCTCTGCCGCCCTCTTGTGGCCACCAAGCCCTTCGCAGGTCACAGTGGAGGATGGGCTCAAGTCTGCAGGGCTGAGTCTCTCTCTCCCCTGGTGGAAATTACTTAAGTCACAAGGAATGATCCTTTGTTGTCTAGTAGCATCTTCCCAACATCTACCCTGGTTTCTGGAGGCATTGACCACCTCCTTAAGGCTGGGATAGTCAGCCTGTTTGCTATTATCTTAAGTTCTATGTTCTGCTTTTAGAGATGTGCAGTAGACACACAAGGCAGAGGTCAAGATATCAATCAGAGAGGCAATTTCTCTTCCTCCTTGGGTTCCATTTACAACCTCAGCTTCCCAGGATTGTCAGGAGTTTTCAAATCATGGCTGCAGGGTCTAGGAACATTCCTGGAGAAAATGAGTCTGGAACAGACAAGGCATTATGTGCCTAGGCTTCCACAAATTTTCACCTGAACTCAGTCCATCAGTGTCAGCAGGCAGATGGACCAGCAGGGATCAGGGGCAAGAGACAGGGATGCTGGAGGGAGCTGGCATATTTGCCAGATGCTGACAAGACTCCTTTCCTGCTAGCTCTGGAATCCCTTCCCACCCACCAAGCTGCCCTTGACCTTCACCTTCTAGTACTCAGTGCTCATTAGTGACTGCCTGTCTTTGGGGAGACACCTAGGGGGCCAAGTTGCATTGGGTGGGTAAGGGGGGAGAGGAAGAGGGAGGGACACCAGCCAAGTGATGGAGAAAGAGGGGTTGGAATGACTGGGATTGGAGCTGAGGTCCCATGATCACTGGGGTGCTTGGAAGGCTTGGCAGGGAAACTCTCCTGAGGGTAGATACTGAGGTGCTGAGGGTAAGTGAGTGGGGGTGGGAGTGGGCTGGAATATGGATATAGGTTGACTTCCACTGACGGAGCTGCATATTTTGGGAGACCTGGTGAAATATGAGGCAACTACTTTATTGAGAGCTTCCTATGCACAAGGGTCACAGGTGCCATGAAGGGATAAAATAGGAACACACATAGGTTTTGTTTCCTTTCGTGGATTTGAAGACCTGCTGCATCTCTGCCCCATGTGTTCCTGTCTAAGGTGGGCAAGGAACCCCCAGGCAGTTCTGGCCCAGGATCCAGGGGCAAAGCTCCAAAATTTTGTTATGTACACCCTGCTCCCCTCCAGCAAAGCACCTCCAGTGGGCTTCCTGCCTCTCTTCACTTCTCTTCTGACAGAATGCTCCAGATGCATAGATATTTGGCTCAGGGGGACCTTGAGTACCCTCCCAGAATTTCCAGTGGCTCCCAGCGGACTAACTGGGGAGTGGACGGGGCAAGGCTCAGGGCCTGACTACCCAGCTCAGCAGGCAGGGAAGTGACCTAAGTCTGGAGTGCTGGAGAACGTTCTGTGAGGAGCAGATTGATGCCGTCTGTGCCTGCTCTGCATCCTGATAGTCCAGCCTTCCATCTTCCACACAAAGTGCTGCCCACCGTGTCCACCCTGTGACATCCTCATCAGTTCACTCCAGGAAATCCAGGGGGGCACTAAGGGGCAGAGAAGAGGGCAGACAGACCCATGGACACCAACAGAAAGACCCAGTAAATTCAAGTCTATACCTAAGAGTGGAACAAGGAGAAACTGCTGCTCTGAG